CAGTTCTGCTTTATATCAAGTTGCGTGATACAGATGGGACATATCACAGGAAAATCCTGTATGTTGGCTCCTGAAAGCGGATAATCTGAATCGAATTCCGTAACAATTCAAATCATTGTAAAGGACAATAGACCTATTATTATTAACAGATGTTTTATTACATTTTAAAACAACGGAAAAATTACTATTGTTTTCCATACAACAGGAATTGTCTGCTTGAAGAGCTAAGATTAAGTACAAACTTCAGTAAAACGGAGGATATCCCACAGCAACTATTTACAATTGAACTGTGGATACCACCCAATCCCAGAGATTTCGTTGACCGCAGTAACATGATTCCCTTATAAATACCATCATCATTGAATAGCTCTAGCTTCTTGGATATAAAGCCGCGTATTTCGTTGCCTTTCAACAGACTACACGGCGTTATATTCCAGAAGATAGAATTCCTCACAACCACCGCTGTAAGAAAGCCAACTGCATTACTACCATTAACAAAAGCTGGAGCTCCAGTATTATTACGACGTGAACTCAGTGACTGCACGAACCCAAGTCTGATTTGAATATAAATGAAATGAAAATGTTTAGAAAATGCATTAAGAAATTATCGATTGTGATTAGGTGAATACGGTGCAACATGAAATTGAGCATGACTAATCCTGTCCTTACTTATTTAGACACATAATTCTGAAACTGCGTGAGTGAGTGCTTAAGACGATTATATACAGATTTAAGCTAAGTAAGTTCACCAGACTTCATGATTCATTTCACCAATTTGCCACATATAGCGTGACAGCCAATTTTCTTATGACACGTACGGAAATAATATCTCCTCCTGACATACTTTCATGCACCAAGTACAGACAAGTCGTCAAAGAAATTTGTCAGTGCGAGAATAACTATTTAGATAGCTTGAACTATAGCTTCATTTACAGTGGTTGCAGTTGTCTACTGCGGTACCAATAGAACTTAGACTGTAGACACAAGTACAGAAATAGTGTGATGAAAACTTGTATAATATTAAGTAATCTCCAGAAATATTCTCTTCATAAGAAAGGCTTTTATTCTGTTACAGCTATTTCTACAAGTTTGCGACTGTGGATGGATGACAGTGATCTAGAGATCAGGAGTCAGCGTACTATAATTTGCACTTTTAATCTCCAGCCAGTCGAAGTTCGAAAGAACAAGATGAAGCGAACACCTGACAATCATTTGTACGTTGACTACGTCCAGGAACGCAGGTGGATGCGGAAATCACATCACGTTTTTGTTTAGAGGGGAAATGGAAATTTCTTGTTGAAGAACCGGGTTGCCAGTCAGAACCACGCGAAATTTTGTATATCCAAAAGTTTTTATAAATAATTAGAATAACTTTTAAACTATCGGTTTCACATGAAGTGTAAAATAATGGCTAAATATGTTCGTTGGAATCATCAATAATTTTAATTTCTATCTGTGCTGATTAATTAATAAACTGTAAATTGAATTTGCGCTTTGCTCTGGAAACTGATTCATCAGTTCGCAATTAAGGCACCCGTGTCTCTAGTTGCATAATCATACGCGTGGCAAGCTTGAAATATTTTGTAAATATAAGGAAACATTTCATAACTAAAAAATAGTCCGTTGACTAAGCCTCGTTTAGGAATATTATTTGACAATCCGTGGGGCGAACATTATCCATGTGTTGTTCTCAGGCCTGTGACATTTTCATAAGAAATACCTGAGAACTAATCCGATGATGCATTGAATTAAGTGACAGTAGTGCAATTAAAATTAGGCCATGAAATCGCATAACTTATTTCTTAGATAGTGCTGTGTATTTAAGATTCCTTCTAAAGTATTTGAATAATTCTCGATACATTTAAAATTGTAATCTAGAGCAAAATAATCATTTTCAACTAGAAAATTAAAATTATGTGTAATTGCAATTTCAATCCACTCACCCCGGTATCCTTTAATATGTTCATGTCATATTTCCGCTTTCACACTGTGAAATGACTTCGCATTTCCAATCAGCTCTCCGCCCCTACGAGTCGTATTGGAATACACTGTCTTTAGGAGCAGGAAATACAGGCTAAGGGTCCGGGAAGTTTATGACTGAGTCATCTCATTGGTCAGTTATCAATGATAAATAAATGTTATTATTTATGCGGTAAATATTTTCCATGGAAGCACTGAAATTATTTCTAAGTTGCGGGATGTGAGGTTCTCACAGCTGAGACTAAGAAGACTTCTAAGTCCCTTCATATTTTGGTAAAACAGATCAAAACAGCAAGAGATGTAAATTCAAACGTTTTCTGGGGTGATAGGTGCTACCTCTACAAGCCCCAGTAGGACTACTGCATAAGGAAGTGTCCTCATTGGACGTAATTGTTGCTGAAATAGTGCGAGTCTCAGAGGAGTAAATCTGATCAGGGTTTAAAAGTCTACAGACAACGGCAGTGAAGTATCCATTCTGGCCATGCTGCTGTGTTATTTACAGACAGAAAACCTTCTTCGGTAACGAAACGCGTTATGAGTCTCGACTTTGGTCTTTAGTTCGGTACAGATTAAGGAAGGAAATAATAAATTGATTTTCTGACGATTTTTTGACATTTTGAGTTGTTACTTCAGAACTGATATACGAAACAAATTAAGACTGGGAGGGCCCAACTATTTCTGTCCCAAGTCGCAAGTCTCTGCCCTTTCTTAGGGACCATGAAATTTTAACCATTGAACTTGAAGAAAGTGAACTTGTATAATTTATTACAAATGAACTTGTGAGGCGCTGTCTCTTGCGTGCGCCTGTCACTGCAATGTATCCACCGCCTACAGACCCACTGAACATCCACACCAGCTGATTTGCTATTTCACGGCTGTGTTGCTCAGTTGGCAGTACTGGCTTAACTTGGAGTGGATTTCCATGAATCCGCATTTCTGTTTTTGTAGAACTTACAACAAACGACTTGCGACTTCTTGGAATGGAAATTCACTAAATTCTTGACGACGACGATGATGATGCTCTTAATAAAATAATTCAGTTAAATTCTTTATTTATTACATGTTGAGATCAATAGCTAGTGGCCAATTATAGAGTCAGCTCGAATACAAACAACAGCAATAAGAAAACACAGGAAAAAAACAAATTAGAAACAACAGAAACATAGAAAAATGAATCAGTTTAGGTTTTAATACTGAAACATCAGTTCCTAAAAATATCTGTAAATTTACAAACTGCACCACTTCTAGCTGAAGAACAGTGGCCGGAAGAGAAAGTTAACGCGTTGAAGCTATAATGTTCCGAGTAATGAAAAGAATGGTTTCGAGGAAATGGGAGCAATATTTGGTCCCACTAAAAACATTTATTTATAAGAATAAAGCATCAAAATGAAAACGCCTGTTATGCAGTGTCAACAAATCTAATCTTTCCAATAAATTATCACAGTGATATTCCATAATAATTCAGTTATTAACTATTTATGTGCCGGGTCAACAGCCACAAGGCCAATTACAGACACAGGTAATTACATTATGGACAAACACAACATGAAGAAGATAATCACATAATAATTCGATTCAATTCTTGTTTATTAAAATGCAAACTTAGCAGCGCGGCCGGTCAGAGTAGCCCCGCGGTCTAAGGCATGAACTGCCTTCGCTCGCTCGGACGCTGGGATTGTGGGTTCAAATCCCATTCAGAGCATGGATTTTGGTGTGTGTATGCCTTTACTCTGTGTTTGTGTGGTCCTGTGTTCAGGTAGCGGCTTTGTGAAGGACTGATCACTAGTCCAAGGAGTCCTACTGTCTGTGGAAAATGATTACGGAACTGAAAAAGAGGTCTGGGCCCTGAACGGGCTGGAAGAGCCTTTGAAAAAAGTACTCAGTTTTGCGACAGTGGAGACGAGGCATTCAGTAACAGTTCAAATACGTGAGTATATATACAGCAAAAGCAGATTACCCTACTGATGTTATATCGGTTGTACCGCATGCTCCCGAAAGTAATAAAAAACACATAGGAAATAAGACACGCAACAGAATGTTCAAATTTTACAGTCAATTTATATCTTTATATGCAATAATTTCAAGATGGAAAATGGTGAATGATGTCATGGTAAAAAGATACTGCTTACAGTTTGTATAACAAATATCGCACCTTGCAAAATTCTATGTTCCTTTCCACCTTAACTTATTTTACTCTTTTATATAACGATATATTTCTTTCGGCATAAAATTATTGCCTAATACCGGATAGCTTGAGTACAGTTTCCTACAGAAAAAGAATGTTCTCTTCGTTGGTATCCAGAAAGGCTGTCAGGTCGGCCCAACTTCCTGTCCAGCGTACATCCGGTGCTCTGGTTCTTGGAAGCGGAGTAAAGCAGGCACCTCCATCATGTGCCAAAATGAAGAATGCGTAGAGATTTTCTAGTTCTCCCTATACGCCCTCATATCGTGCTGTTTAGGCATATTGACAATTTTGCATTGATCCCTATTCAATTTACAGGGACCACGTCACGCCATCCGCCTCCTAGCTGCGGTACTTGAATGCTGGAGCCTGAATGATTTGTCACCCACTGACGCAGCAGACCGAATGAAAAATATCGTATGGAGAGGTTCTTTTGGGGAGGGGGGACTGCCCCATCACTTTTTATACGACGTGTCCCATTTACACGTTTGAAATTCTGGTTTCAGCAAACTTTGCAAATTTCGCTCTATCGAACGAGCAGGTTCTTGGCCTATTTCAGTTGTGTAGTCTCATAGCAATAATGAGTTTAGGGTACAGTGAGGTGGTTCTATTTTCTTCCAGGTTTGCTGGTGATCACTCTGTCGCTTCTGTGTACGAGCAGCGGGTTTCAGCGACTGGTGCATGCGATCGGTCTCGCCAGTGCAGTCGCAACAAAATGGAGGGCGTACAATGGGCACAGCAGTAGTTCGATTGCTTGGGAGTGACTAAAAAATTGTTCACTCTAAGAAAACATAATACTAATACAAAGAAGGAAACGTTTTTACTTCACGCACTTTTATATGACAGGTATTTTATTATACACAGTACAATTCTTTCTCATCTTGACAAGCATATCACACGATTTCTGGTACATTTCTTCAGGATCACTAGCCCTAACCTAAAATTCCCAACAGGTTCTTGTTCTCGTCAAACACAGTTTCATCATTTATGTGGTGAGGAACATGGGCCTCACAGTAAACTGCTGCGAAATGACTTAGTTTAGTCATCTATAATGCTTATATTTCATTGCAATGATATTCTGTTGGCTCCGTATCAGAAGAGGGGCCTTCCTCCCGGCTTGACAGCATCGTAGGTGAATCTTGTTATAAAACACCTCCAGGAAGAGAATGAGAACAGAAAACAGAATTCCATAAGCCAAGACCACCAATGCTGGGTAGAAGTCTTGGATCCGAACACTTACAAAACCCTGGCTATTGTCTGCACATTTTGGCTTTTGGTGATACCAGCGTTTATATTCCCGACCAACAAAACCGATTTCTCTCAACCAGCGAGCCCTGTAAAAATGAAAAACACTCAACTTAGCTTCAATATATACACGTATAATACACAGTGGTTGCGTCTGTATGGGAAGTAGAAGTCAGCTGACTCAAGCAGCAAGTCTTTAGATTTATATTCGTTGGGTTATGAGTTTGAGTTTTAGTCATGACACATTCTGCCATGATTTCAGCCACGTGAATGTCGGTAAAGTGCCTTGAAATGGGCCCTGACTCTTTCCCCACACCCTTAAACTGGTCATCCTTTCACATCATTCGACGTAAAGCCTCTGTAGTTCATAACGTATGATGGATCGTATATGAAAACAGGAACGTGTATGACCCCTCATGTTGATCTTCTCTTTACCGCTATGACCAACCCATCCCTGGGGCTCCCACAGCTTTTTATGGAATGGATACCCCTAGGACCCTTTTCTGGAGAGCAAACCGGTAGAAGCGTTAAACTAACCACTCACCTTCATCTGACGTCATGATTCGTGCTGCATTTCCACGCTCTCATGCATACTCTTGACGTTATGCCTCTTTCCCCTATGCGTGCTACTTTCCTTGCCCATCTCATTCTCCTTGACTTGATCATTCTAATTATACTTGGAGAAGAGTACAAGTTATGAAACTCCTCATTATGCAGTTTTCTCTAACTTGTTACCCGTCCCTCTTCGGGCCAAATTTTCTCAACACCCCGTTCTCAAGCACCCTCAGTCTATGTCCTTCCCTTAAGGCCAGAGACCAAGGTAGCCTCGGCCTATACGTGTTAAATTCAGTCATCAATTAATTTATTACAATGTGTACAGTATATGAACTGAAGTTCAGAATGTTTTGTTTCCCTAGTATAATGTTTCTTTATGAAACGTACTGCTTTACTGCTAAAGAGCGGGTTCCATAAAGCAGCTGACGGCTTCCTCTGGAGGGCAGCGAATATTCGCATCCTACTTGAGCGTGTTCTCGAAAAATATATGCTGAAGAATGCATTTGTTGTTATATTTAATGGACTGATTTGGAAATGTGGTGGGGGTTATAAAAAGAAAAAAAAAACTTTTGTAGAGTTCTTGTGGGCGATTTTGCCAAAGCTACAGATGTACATGCCCTGTCATTTGAATCCAACGTATACTTCAACACGCCATTTCTTGAAGGCCCATTTTAATATTACCCTCACATTTACATCTAGATCTTCTGAATGGTTTCTTCTCTTAAGGTTTTCAAATAAAAATATTATACGCATTTCTGATTTTCGCAATAAATGCAACTTGTATATTAATTTTGTTCTCTTGTATTGAATCACCCTTAATAAGTTTGTTGAATGGCACAAATTATAAAACTCCTTACTGTGTAGCTTTCATATTTTTTTAGGTTATGTTTATATTCGTATGTGATGAACCAGAGCCGTTAAGTGTTCAGTATATCCTTCCTTGGGCAAAAGTGAACTTACTTTCTTGCAATAAACTCCTTGTATTGGGACCCCTTCCTTACGGGGTAAGCAAGGCAGTTTGTTACAAAAACAACGATCTCCTTGTATCTGCATTTTTCGTGTTCCTCAAAGGTATCACTCATCACTTTGTAAACATCTGCGTCTGACTGGAAGGCGTGTAAGCCTTTGCGTATATTGGCAACTCCAACTTCATTTGACGTGAATGCCCGACCAATCGGCTGTGTGTACAGTTTCTCAAAGTAAAGTCTCTTCACGTCGGGATCATTTGTGTCCTGCAAAGTAGTTATGAATTATGTAGCATACCTGGACATTTTGAAGTATTTCAGTTAGCTCCATTTGGCTTAGATTATATTTTTCCCTGAAAATTATACATAATTCTTAGAACAATTAAGATATTTTGTGTAATCTTCACTGGCAAGCCAAAACCTCGTGGATCCGTACATTACAGCTTTCAGATTTAAGTCGCTCTGTAGCCACAGTAAGAAAATGGTTTTTGTCTCGATAAAAAATGGATAGACAAGATAAACTTCCCGTTGTTTCTTTCTCATATAACTTAGGAGACAGTCTTTGTTTCAAGGGTCTTCTTCGAGTTATTTACAGCGAATAACATAAATATAACTTATTTAATGATTAGGCTTATAAGCTGAATAATTAGATATATTAATATAATTTTGGAAACTGAATTAGATGATCATATATAAGGAAATTATAATACTTACTTTTCTTAAAAGACTTAAATTGAAGTACGTGTAGTTTTGCTAGCAACAACTTTAAACTGATTCAGTTATATTTTCTTGAGCATAATTTCCAATAATACGGACTCAACCAAATATGTTGTATTTTTCATCCGTAAATTCAAAGTTTAGGACCCTCGCAATGTTTTTACTTTAGTCATATGAAGAATAGTTCGCATAGGATATTGTGATATGTGGGCCGTTTCTGGGCAATGGCTAGGTAACACTGCCTAAAATTCCGGAATAGAAAAAAACAAGCGGAAGTCCATTGTTAGGCAATGGGTCTATAAACACATCCCCGCAACACACTAACGGGAAAACAATAGGACATCTATTGCTAGGTAAACGAGTGGTAAACAAGCTTCTTCAGCAATAGAGGCCGTGTTTTCTGTGTGGTCCGTTTGGAGTCTATATAACGACAGCGTGTAGCTAGGATTAGATCAACCCCGTGTGGAGGCGGGGTCGAATACCTCCACCGTGACCCTGCGAGTCGTAAAAGACGACGAAAAGGGAAGTCTCAAATCTGAGACAGTAAGATATGGTCTCGAGTCCCAAGGGACTCAGACCCTAGAAAGATTGCACTGGCAAGGGCCAGCAGCACATACAAAAGGCAGACCCGTCGTCTCGTCAGAGAGGGTGCCCCACAAAAACAAGACCGTAACTGTTAAAGGTAATAAATATCTGGTCATGAGCCCCAGATGGGGCTCGACACCAAGATTTACTGACTGACTGACCGTCAGTCGCAATGTGACTTGGACTTGGATTAGATCAGAGTTAAGCTGATAGAATTGGACCGGCAGTGGAGTACAGATTAAACTAGGGCAAACTAGGAGCTGTAGGCTGTAGGGAGATTAGAGACCCTACAAATTTCAGACAACAGTAAGAGAATCGTTATCAAGAAGGAGTTCAATGTGTGAGCTGTTGTAATCAAGTGTAATTGTAATAGGTGAGTCGAATAAATTCAATCTTCAAATCCATAGCCCAGAATTATTAGTCACTCATACCCCATATATGTGATAATATGTACGAATGTATCCATTCCCGGATGTCACAGGCCTAGTTCCAGCAGCACAATAATTATCGCCATCAAATCTAAAGTTAAATGTGGATGTGCGGCCATCATGTGTTTGTTGTCCTTTCTAGGGAAGTGACCTCACTAAACTTTGTTTTTCTTCGAACATCAGATGCCACACGAAATTTCAGGATCCTAAAATTAAGTGGCGCTAGTGTCGTTTACAGGCCACAAATTCCAACACTCAACATGTTCATAGTCCTTATGTTAGGCGAGAAAATTTACGAAATTGGAGTGGTCTGTAGTGGAATGGCATTCATATTTACATTTGTCCAGAAATTTGAGGCCCAAACACACGGATATGTTAACACCATAATTCTATCTTTAAGTATGCGATGATGAAACGAGGTTCAAATTTTGGGGCAGGAAAGTTAATATTAGGACTGTGATGTATTTTTCGAATAGCTAAGTGATTTATAATTTTCAATAAAATCATTAGACTTTAGGATAATATTTTGGCAATCTGATTTGGCATGACATTTCTAAAACGATTTGGCATCTGAAGGTACTCCTAAAATTTCCCCTTTCTTAAAAAAAGTCTGAGGAAAAGGATTTAGGGTACTTTCCCTCCGTGTGTTCCCCAGAAATAACATATCCTTTCAGTTAATTAGGTACACCACACTTATAGTTTTCAATTTCCTATCATCATAATCAACATGGCGGCACTGCGAACTTTTGAGATGGAACCACCATTATCATACTAAGGTGAGTTCTTGAAATTTTGTGTCACTCTGAATGTTCATGCAATACTCATCTTTTAAAAATACTTTTTATATAATGTAAAAAAGCAGTGAACAAGAGATTTTTTTTCAGTATGATAGAGTTACTAGAGCACTGGATCTTGGCTAGTACAGATCATCATCATCAGTAATCTGTCAAGACGACAGGTCCACAG